GATATCCTCACCAGCTCTGGCAAAATCTGTTTTATTAAAATGTAACTCTAATATTGTACTTAATGGTTTTGATGTAAGCTTAAAAAATGTCATAGGAACAATTCTTATAGATCCTCTTCCTTACTACTTTTGTCACATCATTACACCCACAAAGGCAATTTAAAATAGGGGTATTTCTGTTAATGCTAGGAATTGCATAGAATTGCTTAAAAATAAATCCTAAAAAAAAAAAAAAAAAAAAAGAGTAAGGAAGGTGATCTAAAGCTGTTTCTATGGAAGAAAGGGAAAAAACCCAAACAACAACAAAACCCAAAACCCCTCTGTTTCTGGTATGACTTGGAGCATTCCCAAGGTTGCTCTGAATTTTTATGGTTTATGACATTTCCTGTTTGTTAACATACAATTTTTGTGACTTTGGTAGAGGTTTTCACAGCAGGATGCTGCAGAGGGACCTTCTTATTGCAGGGATGTCTTTCAGGGCAGGTCTTGCTCCCCTCATGCTCAGATGTGGTCTGACCAAACTGAGACAGGACAGAGACTCTGACCTGCTTGTATCTAACCTATAACATTCTGAAGTAGTGCCAAAACAAATATTACAGAAGCTACCGGCTATTCCTTGATTTTGCTGAGAGAACTACAAAACAGAAATAATAAGTAACATTTTTTGAAATTTTTTTTTTTAATAAATAAACCCAGGTGCTGCTAGGTGTATATATGCCTGTAACATCAGGTTTTGCTCCTTAGTTTGGTGATGGAAAAGCTTTAACACAAATCCAGAAGAATCACTTTGAAGATAATGGCAAACAAACAGATTTTTGGAGTCATAGTTGATTCCTTTTTTATTCCATGGTATGCTGACAGTCAAAGAGAGAAAGAAATCAATTAAAGATCCACTTAAATCTGTTAATATGTAGGGGAAAGCAATCCTACCTCCCCTTCCCATAAAGTTCAGACAGCACTGGATGTTGGAAGTGGCAGGAAGGATTTATGCAGACTAAGCTGATGTGTACCTTGTGTAAATTCTTAAAAGCTTTCTTACCTCTCTGTAAAAGTTAGCCATTCCATTTTTAAACTGTTTCTGTAAGCCTCAAATCCAAAGGAAAGAATCTCTAGTCCAAATCAGAACTTTTATAGAGGAATAAAACACGTAAAAAAATTTAAAATGATAAGGGAACAAAAGGTAGTGATAAAAACTTGGCAAATGCACTGATCAGATATTTTGCTCTGTCTTCAATCTAGAATCTGATTATTAAAATAACGAATATTTTAAAATTAATTTAACATTGTTTCTGTCTGAGTATTTGTAAAGTTGTGTGCCTGCTTTTGGTATTTATGCAGCCATCTAATATACCATCCTGTTCCACTTGGAATCAGTAAAAAACCCTCCTATTGAGTTTATTGGCTACATATATAATTCCGAGCACAACTGAAGAGACAATGACTCAGAAAGCTGTGAAGCTTTTGTTATTAGAAAAGGAACTGTTCCCTTGACATTTCACAGTGACAACCTAACTGCAGCAAAAAGAATAATATAAGTACATTTCAGGCTTCAAACAATGTTTCTACATTTTATTTCTAAAATAACTACTTCTGAAATTAAATACTCGTAATATGGTTATCTGCAGATTTGGACGTTCCTTTATCAAGCAACAGATTTCTTGTTTGAATTTTCTAAGTTGTTGGTTTTGGGGGGCAGGGTTTGGGGTCTTTTGGTGGGATTTTGGGGTTTTTTTGAGTAAGCTTTGGAAAACTTGTTCTTTAAAATTATATTTAAGGCATAGGATCATAGAATAATTTAGGTTGGAAGTGACCTCTGGAAGTCATTTAGTCCACCTGCCTGCTTGAAGTAGATGCTGTTACATCAGGTAGGTTGAGTATGTTGCTCAGGGATGTGTCTGATCAAATTTTTAGTATCTCCAGAGTTGAAGATTGCACAACCTGTCTAGGGAGCCTGTGCCAGTGTTTCATCACTTAGACCATTCTCGTGGTGAGAAAGGCTTTCCTCTGCATGACATGTATCTGCATGACATTTCTTGTGTCCCCACTTGCCTGTTGCCTTGCATCCTACCACCATATGCTTCTGAGAAGCATCTGGCTCTACCTCTTCTGTATCTTTCTGATAGATAGTTGAAGACAACAAGCAGTAAGATCCTTCCTTTGCATTTTCTTCTTTAGACTGAGTGAACCCACTTCTCTCAGCCTCTCCTCAGACATCATGGCCTCCATTCCTCTAATCATTTCAATGCCCCTTCAGTGGACTTTCTCTAGTAATGCAATGTCTTTTTCTAACTTGGCAGCCCAAAACTGTCTGTAATACTCCAGATATGGTCTCACAAGTACCAAATGGATGGGAACAAATCACGTTCCTTGACAGGGTTGCTATGCTTTTGCTGAAACCATCCAGGAGGCTGGTGGCTGCCTTGGCTGCAATGACGTGCTGCTAGCTCATGGTCAGCTTGTCCACCAGGACCTCTAAGGCTTTTTCTGCAGAGTTGCTCTCTGGCTAGCACATGCCCTGTACTGTACTGTTGTAACTGCATCATTATGTCCCATGTACAAGACTTTGCCCTTGACTTTTCATGGGGTTCACATCAACCCATTTCTCATGTCTGTTGGGATCTGCCTGTATAAATAGTAGCCTTACCCTCCAGCATGTCAGCTACTCCCCCAATTTAGTATCATCTGGAAACTTGTTGAGGTTGCATTCCACCCCCTCATCCAGGACATGAGTGAAGATGCTATTGGCCCTAGTATCAGGCCTGGAAATGGCTGCTGATAGTTGGCCAGTGTATGAGAAATTAAAGCATCTTGACAATATGTGACTTGTGATGTTGTATGTACATTTCAGCTCAGGTTGCTGTTACTTTACATTTTATTAATCATCCTACATGACTTTTTTTCAGTTTTATGGTACAGTGTTTGAAGAACCATGATTGATGGTCTATCAAAAATTGTATGTGTTTCACTGAGTCTGTGTGAAAGTATTGGTTCTTGATTGCTCTGTAGCATCCAAAAAGTCTTTAAAGTTGTCTTTGGTTTTGAATGTGAAGGCTGGAAAAACTAAGGTAGTGTGCCACTGTCACAGGGTGGCCATTGGGCTCATATTCTTGCTAGTAGTTGTTTTGGTGGTTTTGTCATTTTATTTTTTCCCCTCGTTTCTTGTTAGAAACCCTGAAAAAGATTTCTCAGAAAGCTTGTATTCTGCTTCTCACATACTTGGTCAGTCTCTTCTGGCACCATTTAAATTGTCCCATGACAATTCTCATATTAATAGAAGACAGATTTAAGTAACTCTAGGTTTCATTCACTTTCTCTTATTTGCTATAGGCTCATATTTATCCTTAGTGTAAACACTCCCTTATAAAGATGAGGCCTAGGAGTTCCCCTTCACCAAATACTAGCAGATCATGCCCTTGCTTTTTGTAAAAGTTAGTCTTGCTCTTCTATTTCACGCTGGTTTTTCACAGCCTTGGTTGCCTGTATTGTCCTTTACCACATCTTCCTTTAGAAGATGCCAGCCCTGTTAAGGTTGAGAGCAAGCTGTGGTTTCTGCACCCCTTCCAGTTTGATCTAGCTTTAAGAAGTTTACAAAACCCAGTTATTTTCCTAGCTGCTTTATAATGTGAAACAAAGGATTCCTTCCTATCCTACTCTGCCCTTGTATCTTTCAAAGAAAGCACGGTAAAATTGCATCTTATTTTTGATAATTTTGTGGGGTGGTTCATTGTCAAAGAAAGGTTTACATCACTACGACACCACTTCTAAGCATATATAGTCTTGCTTTTCTCCTCACTTCAACTGGTATGAGTGAGGAGTAACTCTAGTGAGATCAAGATAATTATTTGACTGTAAAGTTGAGGTAAAACAAGAATCTGGCCCTTGGTATTTAGACTTTTAAATACGTGTCATGGTACAAAATGTTGCTAGAAGAATGTGCTCCCTTACAGGTAAACAAAGTGTCAGCTCCCAAAGCACATTCTCTTCAGAAAACTTTCTGTCCAAAGAATGTCTTTGAATTTAACCAAATTCTGTTTTCTTATAGAAAGAAAATAAAGTTTACATGTGAATTAAATTTTTATAGTGAAAAAATGCTCAAAGCATCTAGTTAAGTTTATTTAGGACTGGAAGGGGTCATCTGACTTATTTGAATATATTTTCCAGTTGATTATTGGTTTTGACGTTTACCATATGGTGGTTATGATACAAATGTGCAGGAAGAACTTGGGCGTGGTGCTTTGCTGACTTGAAGATCTCTGACACAAAATTCAATTTATGGTCTCTCATACGAGAGGCTAAAAATCAGCTAAATTTCAGCTGTACAATTCCAGATGCAAAAAAGAAATTGGATAGTAACTCTGGTTTTCACTGTATTGTTTTAAGATTCAACCTTCCTGTGCTCTGCTAAACTGAGACTTTTAAACTTACTTTTTGTTTGAACTATAAGTCTGAATAAAATATTGTAGATTTAATTAATTTTAAAGTGGCTTGTCTTTTGGAACCTTTGAATTGCTTTTAAAGACTTCAGCTTATGCTAGCTTTTTCAAACTTCTGTTTTACATGATATTTGCACTGAATTGCTGTCATATATCAAGTATTTATGTCTTCATAATGCCATTTAATTTCCTACAAACAGCTGCTTGCTTTAGCTGTGCTATTTTTCTGAAATTGAATACAATTTCAGTATTTTAATATAAAATATGATGGAAATATTAAATATTCAGTTGACCATCATGCATTTCAAGAGTGCAGATCCTCACCATATTACTATGACCACTTCTCTAAAGATCCAAGTTTCTGTAAAATGTAATGAAATTCAAATGCAAGTGGAAATAAAAATATCCTATCTGTAGTCCTTTATCATGTATACGTATTGTGAGAAGACGGAAATGTGCCTAGGTCTTAGTAGTCCAGTTCTGTCCTTTTGCTACTTTATCATGCATTTTCTTCTTCCTTTAAGGAATAAATATATCTAAACCTCTTTTTTTTTTTTTTCTTTTTAGAGCCAGTATTGTGCAGAAGCGCATAATTTATTTTCAAGACGAGGGTTCTCTCACCAAAAAAATTTGTGAACAAGGTAAGGTAAAGTAAAAGATCTTTCTGACCTCCTTGTCATGTTCTACTTATTTCTCTTAACTCATTATATCAAACTAAAATTTTAAGGCCTTGAACAATTTCATCTAGGTTCAAATTTGGGATCTCCTATTCAATTATGTTCTTCCTTATCACATATACTGTTCCTAATACAATCTTCCTTGCCTTCCCCTAGATATGATACTCTCACCTTTTTACCTGGTCTTCATGTGAAACTCATTGGTCTCCATGGCACTTAGTTTATTGAATTCTGGGTTATATCATCCTTTCCTAAATCTAAGCATTGCAGTTGGTTATTGCATCCCACTGGAGAATTTACATGCTTTGGCTGTCCAGAAATTTCAAGCCTATTGTGGTTTGAGATCAAATGAGGGTTTGTCCATATCAGATAAGCACCAGAAAGAAACACATTTTAAATCTGAAGACGACTGAAATAGTGATGCCTTCTTATTTAAAAATGTAGATTTAAATGACTGCATCCACTTATAGTCCAGGTATTTCAGGATTCTAGTTTAGTCTAGTGTAGCCCAACTTAAAAACAAAGGAACAAAAAAAAAAGGTTTAACTCAGATTTATTTACTGGAGTATTTATTATGGCAACTTTGCTGTCACCTGTTGATTTTGAGTTGTAACTGTTATCAATGGGTACTTTGCTGCTTTTTCAGACTCAGCCTCAGAAGGTGTGACTGACAAACCAATTTTAGATTGTTGTGCCTGTGGAACTGCCAAATACAGGCTAACTTTTTATGGAAACTGGTCAGAAAAAACACACCCCAAAGATTTTCCACGTGAGTATCATTCTTTTACTATTGTTGTACCATATAAGGACTGTGAAGAGGGTTGGAGCTGGTTGTATGACATATTACTTATTTACAGCTCAGCAGTGTAAATTACGACATGTGTGCAATACTGCTAACGTTCAGTATTGAAAATCCATGGATCTTTCTGCGAATGTGTCGTGGTTTCACCCCAGTCGGCAGCTGAGCACCACACAGCCGCTCGCTCACTCCCCCGCGTTGGGATGGGGAAGAGAATTGGAAAAGTAAAA